AGGGGGGTTATGAAATTAATTGTACTGTAATACCAGCCCTCAGTTGTTCTGATTCTGCTCTTTCCTCCAGAAAGTCCAATATGAGTATAAAACGTAGACTTAATTTTTCTACATGGATAGCACACATGGTTTGAATTTAGCAAAAATTTACAAGCTACGTTAAGCGCTATGAAGAATTAATTGTGCATTAGAATGCTTTTCACAGGCCCTAGTGGTTCACGTCCCTCCCTGTTCAGGCCTGATCATTTTCCAGTTGACCTTGGATGTACTCCGCAACTGCCTTCAGCATGTCTGCCTCATTTAATCAAATGTGTTGACATGAACAATATTCCTTTTTTTACCCCAGATAAATAAATAACGTTACTTGGCACCATGTGAATCAAAGTGACGTTCCACTCATGATGGCAGTACAAAGGAATCCGTTTTTTTCCCATGTACTTTTTCTTCAAACTTTCTGATATGTTGACTTTAAAACAAGTATGCAAGTATGTATGACATGGTTGTTTGTTTGTCTGGCTTTTTTTTAAAGCGACAGTGGCCGCCATGTATTACAGCTACTACATGCTACCTGATGGAACCTATTGCCTTGCACCTCCACCTCCAGGAATAGATGTTGCCACCTACTACAGTGCACTGCCTGCAGGGGTGACTGTATCAAGCACTACAGGGGTGGCAACTATACCTCCACCTCCTGGTACTACACCTCCACCTCCCCCAGACACAACTGAAGTTGATAGTGGATTGACTTCTAGCACAACCTCCGCAAGGTATGCTATTTATATTTCGCAGGAAATATTACATGCCTTTTATAACACTTTTAAGCCGTCAAGGCTTTATGTAGTGAAATGTCTGGTACCATTGACAGTATGCGTGGCAGTTTTTCAAATTGTTGCTGGCCATCAGGTTGACCGTGGATGAGTTATAATTTCCCGGTTCATTATTGCCACACATATCATCCATTTAAAATATTAAATGTTTCTGTGTGAAATGGATCCCTGTGTGAGGGCATGTTTAATGCACCTGTGTTGCATTAAAAACAATTCATGTGTGATTGCCTGTTCACTGTTGATGTTTCTAACAACTGTTTTCTTTGAAGCAGCCAGTATTGCTTACAGCACTGCTCTATTTACCAAAGTAAAATAACTTTTGTAACACTAGTATATATGTGGTTAAATATGCAGAGATTCTTCAGTACTCTATTGTACTTTTAAGACTGATGTGAACCAAGTAGTAGACTGCATGTGTTTTGGGGGGTTTTTTGTAACTAGGAACACTCACCTTCTGCTTGAATGAAAATGCATTCATCTCAAGAATGTATGCAGGGATTCAAAGAGTGAACTTGCATATTAAATTGTTGCCTAAGCAAAACTAAGGAAATGTTTGTATGCTGATTGTCTTGTAACATATCTCTTCTCATGTTTTCAGCACAATTGCTCCAGTGGTTGCCATTATTCCCCCACCCCCAGATATTCAACCAGTTATTGACAAGCTAGCTGAATATGTTGCTAGGAATGGAATAAAATTTGAAACCAGTGTTCGTGCCAAGAACGATCTCAGGTAAGAACAAGTGTTTTCTTACCTTCTCATTTTGTATCCTTAAAAAATCAACTAGACTACTCTTATTGACAGTGCCTGCATTTTGAAGAAGATGCTTTTGAGAAGTGCATTTTGTAATTTTTTTATAATAAAATTCAAGGAACCACTTAAAGATAATGCTGAAACATTTACTGCCTAAAACTCAAACTCTTCAAGACCTGCTTCTGAATACATATATCCCATGGGAATTTAGGCATAAGCTATTATATTTCAGAACATCAAATAGTATTCCTGTGCCTGAGGTAGTGAGATGGTAAATGATTGTTGGCATTTGCTGTGTTCATGTATATTTTTCACAAATTACTTTTCCCCTTCTCTCTAACAGATTTGAGTTCCTGCAGCCTTGGCACCAGTACAATGCCTACTATGAATTTAAGAAACAGTTTTTCCTTCAAAAAGAGAGCAGTGAGAGCTCTCAGGTAAGTCTGTATGATTGGGGAAAGGGGAGATTACAATAAGGCTTTTCATGTGCAAAGTAAATTTCTGTAAACAGAGTTTGAGGGTAAAAGCTGGATGCATTTTATTTCGTATAACATTAACACAGACAGTGCGATGTGATCAGATATTTAGCTCCTTACTCTAGTATATAGGCAAGCAATTGGTATTTGTGATTGAAGTGAAAAAAATAGAATATCCTGAATCTTTAGATTCACCTGCTCAGGGGGAGTCAAACAAACTAGGTGGCTGCTATATGGAGATCTGAAACCTTGCTGGAATTCAGGTCTCCTGTGAGACTTAGAAGCACTGTACTTACGTCTTCTTGCTGCATGCCTCACCCTGTTCTCTTAACGTCTTCTGACCCTCTGAGAGACGTTTTAACTGAAAACGGTTTGGCAGTACTTTCTGCTCTGAATTATGACAACGTGCCCCACACTGTTCTGCTGCATGTCAACTTGTGTGGAAAACCACACGCATGCAGTACAGTTCAAGATGGAGAACTGAGTTACATTTGGCGCATAACTGTCAAACCTTTTCAAAGTAACTTGGTCAAGAGAGAGAAGCTTCCTAGATGGATATAATCTCTTACCTCTGCAACAGCAACTGTCAGCTCTATGCAGTCACTAGGGAACACATTTTGCTGTTAGCTTGGTAGCAAATTCTACCAAATATTCCAAAACCATTTTCTATTTTTGGAAACCAGATGTACCACTTCTGTAGTATTGGGAACACCAGTAATTCTACATTGCTGGGTCCTAGACATGGTGAATATACTATCCAATTTCAGACTTTACTCCAGCCTACCCTTCCTTCCCCCGCTCCTCTTCCATCAGAATAGACTAAGTTCTCATGGAAGAAGGGAGGTAGGTTAGGGGAAGAGTACCCTGTTGCAGACTTATTTGACTAGTACACAGACAGACCACAGGCAAAATCTGACTGCAGTTAAATGTTTAGTAATAGACACCTCCACTGGTGAGCTGGATGGTTGTACAGACTAAGGGAGTTACAGGTTTAATTTATGAATGTACATATTTAATTTTATAATTACTATGTGCAGAATGAATTAGGAATAGCAAAAAGCTCTTTCCTTCAAATCTGCCTGCTCTTGCAAGTTGTTTTAGTCTTAGCCACAATAACAATGCATTAAAATTGATTAAAGCTGTATAAATTTACTTTATAAATTAAGCAAAAAAAAAAAAAAAGTATTTAAGTGTGGTTGTTACTACCAGTGCTGCTGGCAGTAGCATCATTATTATCAACAACTAATCAGACTACTCTTTTGAAATTGCTGGCAGATTTCCAGCTCTGTGGATACTAATCTTTTCCACTAGTTTCTGTTAAAGAGACAGAGTATCCAGCATTATGCAGTGAGGATTAGCTGCATAACCAGTGTGATAGGCTAGGTTATCATCCATGCCAAATTGTGTGAATTAACTTGGGAATGCCTCTAAAGTATATAAATTTTGGAAAGGAACAAAAGGAGTAAAATCTCACAATTAAGACATGCTACTAAATCATTTTCTCTGAATGCGGTGGAGAAATTTTATTTTGTGGTAACTGTACTTGCTGGAATAAAAAAGAATTTGATTCACTATAATAGGTGTTTGAAAAAAACATTCAGTTGCAGTTCGCCTAACTGGGGAAATACACACGTCTGTTGTCTTCCGGGGAAAAAAAGAAAAAGGTGTTTGTTTTTCTTCCTTAGCAAATATGATTTATTATCTGGTGAAAACTTGAATTATTACGAGTGTTTCTTTTCTTGAAAGAGTAGGTGGTTTTGAAATGTGTGTTTTGTATCCTTCTGTTATTATGATGTACATTTTACAAGAGAAGAATGCTTCATTGTAATGTCATGAATTGTGTTTGTAGACTGTTGTTTTAACAACAGACTTTGGTTGCAAATGTTCTTGACCAAATTAGAGAGGCAGGAACCAATGAAAGTTAGTAATTTGCTATTTTGAAGGTGATATTCAGAGGATACAGGCATGGTAAAGCCCTTGGCTGCTATTCTAGCAAATTAAATAACATGAAACAAACAACAGTTGAGATGATCTATCATTTTCTTGGTCCCCCTCCACCCCACTTCTCTCCACACTTGCTGGTATCATTGGAGAGGCTTATGAAACAAGGATAAAAAAAGTTGATGTGGTTTCTCACTCTTTTCGTAGTTAGACAACAGGAGAATGTTAAACTCTTAGAACTTAAACAAGATGTGAGCAAAAGTAAATTATTTTGTAATAAAATTGACATTTATGTTTTTCAAAAGTATAGCCTCTGAAGAAAAGAGCCTGCATATTTTGTGTGGGTGTTGAGTCTTAGATAACAGATACACTTAAGGTACTTTAACAAGAGAGCTAACTGGGAACTTTCTGATCCAACTCTTCATATTGGAAAATGCCACTTCTACAATCTTTTGTCCTATACCTAAAGAAGGGTGCTTGTAATTAAAGCTTGCAATTAAAGAATTTTTCTTTTTGGAAAAATCTGCTTGGTCTAATAAAAGAGATCACTTCTACCACATATTCTGATTTCAGTTTATTGAAATTAAACTTTTCATCGAACTGGTATTACACACTGTATATAGTACTGCATTTGTTTCTTCAGTTCTCTCACTCTTGTAGGATTAATGTTGGAATGAAAGATTTATTCCAAGGTTTTCTTTTTACAAAGTAAAATAACAAGTACATTCTAATTTAACTTGGTAACTTCCATTAGTTTCTATGTCTGACTTTATAAAGTTGTAGAGTAGGAGCAAGCAAGGTTGTGGCTAGTATGGGATGCAGAAGTCCTCCCATGTCAGGCTTTTAGCTGCTCTCCTCTTCAATCCATCAGCTTGTAATAATTGTTGGTCTCAGCATGATGTATGTATGCCTTTGGCCATCATGAGTTTACTGGAAATCAGAAGAGCTTTTAGCTTCTAAGGTGTTCACCAAAGTATTTGCCAGTGAGGTGAACAATGGCAGCTTTGAAAAAAAGCAAAAGCATGAAAACAATCTAAGAAAGAATACAGGCCTCATATACCTGTTTCAATCCAGCAACCAGTCATCTTTCCAGATGTGGTCAGAATTAGAGATAAAGATAGTGGATAGTGAAAAACCAGAAGGCCTCCCTTCAAGTGTCAGGAGTACTTAATCTCCAGTCCTGCAAATGTTCTCACATCTGCTTAACTTTTTACATGTATGAACTTATGCCATCCGTGATAAAACAGTGATGGCAAACTGAGTGTTTGAGTTGCCATCTAAGGTGCACACACTTAAACTTCTCCTACTGAAAGGGAAACATTTGTAGTTAGATGAAAGAAGGTTTTCAGACATTCCTGTTTGCTGAAAGGAGGCAGGCCTTCAGAACCCCCTCCCCACCCACAAGGCCCTGTTAGCTTTAACATTCAAAATGACCTTTGCACTCAAGTCTCCAAAGGCCACAAATATCTGGGTTGCACTGAGACATTCTCATAACCAACTCACTTTTGTCACAAATTCTGTCCGACCCATTAATTCTGTTCTGTTCTATTGTATTTTGCAAGAACACATTCTCAGCAAATAGTCTCAAGCCTCCTTTCTGTCTGGCTTTCTTCACTCCTACATCACCTGAAGCTGATACCTACATGGAACTGCTTACCATAAGCCAACTTCTATTTTAATGTCATTAACTCTAGCAGATAAAGGGGCAAGTGAATTTGCAGATCTTTTATTGTTGAAATGTAAGCGTAAATTCAGAAGACTTTTTTTTCATCTTTAGTTGTTTTACCTTTAAAAGAATGCCATATGTTCTTGTCATAAAGATGGGAAAACACTTCTATTTTTTGGCACTGTCAAATGCTCAATATTTCTAAGAGTTGAAGATCATATTAAACACTTACTTGAATGAAACATGAGGGTTTTGGGGTTTTTTTTAATTTTGTTTTACTTTAGAAGAAGAACCTTCCAATCTCATAGTTTAATGACTGTAGGTAAATTTAGTTTTCATGGATGGAAATAAATGGAATGTGGTAGGAATCGACTTCTGTTATATTATTGTTATATTATTGTATGACGTGGGAAATCTCTAATTTGGTTACATGTAATAGATCTGGATGGAATACATCTGACTATTTTCACATGGCCGAAATGCAGGGCTTCATCAAAGCCAAATTTTTTTGTGTAGACATTTCAATTAAGTTGTTTTCTTAAAGCTTGTATATATTCATTTTTTTTATTTTCAGAAAATAACTGAAGTAATTAATATTCCTAATCTTTTTTTTTTTTTTAAGGGAGTGGCTCCATCAGAAGATGTTCCAGCAGATTCTGCTGGTGATGCGCCAAGTGAACCTCAGCTTCCAGAGGATCACACCGCTGAAGATTCATCTGAGCTTGGTGCTACTGGAGCTTCAGCAATTAAAAAAGACATACCTGCCACTAAAATTATCAGTGATGGCAAATTGGTGAAAGGTAGGTTGGTATCGCTATTGAAAGCTGAAATGTTCTTGGTAGGCACGTACTTGAAACAAATCTACAATTATCCAGGAAAAGACTTAGAATAGATTAAAATAAAATGTAGATGCATTCAGAAACATCAAAACGTACGGAACTGAATAATTTAATTCATTTCTTACTCTGGCATGTCAGAAGTGAGGTGGAAACCAAAGAGGGTAGTAACTTCAATGTCAACATTTTAATTTCAGAATTGCTTACCATTGAAAACTAATGTGTAAAATGAAGTGACTTTTCTGTAACTTTACCTATTAGTGAGTGCACACAAGTTTAACTTTTTAGATGTTGCCAAGTTGCAAATATGGAATAAACTTTCAAGTAAATTAAATCTTTGTTGCCATATCTATGGGCATCTTTTGTTTTTAAACAAGTGCTAGACTTTAATTCATGTCCATCCCTCTCCTTGATTTATTTCTGTGATCTGGTAGTTAAGGCAGCAGAAAATCTCAGATTTGTCGTGCATGTGTTATGGTGGGGTTTTGTGGAACGGGGATTTGTTTGCTTGTATGGTTTGGTTTGGTTTGGATTTTTCTTTCTTCTTTCTTCAGTTTTTTTAACTGATTGTAATCCCTGAACAAAAAGGGGCTATAGTCTTATAAAGTCCATTCTAGCTATGTCTGATGAGTACTTTTAGAAAGTGCTGTGGTCTTGTTGAAACAGGAGACACTGAAGGTATGATAAGACCCAGTATTCCACTACTGCTATATTTCCATTTATTAAAAGGCAGAGCCTTGCTGAAGGAAAGAGGATCTGCTTTAATTTTAGATAAGTTATAGTAATTTGAGGACAGTAGTGAAATATACTTGAGGCCATATCAGAGTTTAGCTGTACTGAGTTTGAAGGTAATTTATTTCCATTAAAAAGGCTACATGGATAGTTTCATAGTTAGTAGGGTCAGAAGGGACCTGAGCAGATCATCAAGTCCTACCCCCTGCCATGGCAG